TATAGGGTGGAAAAAATCACTTTTCCAACTTCCTTGGCATAAACAAATGTTTGTTAATAATGATAGTATTCAGATTTTTAGCTCTGTCTTCTTCTTTATGGGCGTAGRCATCATTTAAGCGGTTATTGCCGAGTTTACAACTGCGCGCCAGTCGTTCTTTCTTTTCAGTGTTTGACGCCGATTGAAGATTGGAATTGTGACCAGTTCGTTCGCCACCTGGCCTTTCCAACGGAGTGGAGGTCTTCGTCTTTCTCTGCTTCCTTTCAGAACTGGAGTGTTTTCATCCATTCGGACGACATGATCTGGTCAGCGTAGGCGATGTCTTTTCGCTGAACTACAACAATACTGTGATATATCTYGTAGAGACCAATGTGCAAATGACCATAAGTCTTTCACAGAATTTTTCTCTCAAAAAGTCATAACATTAGATATTGTCATCGTCCATGCCTCTACATTATATAGAAAACGGAGATGATGAGTGAATTGTAAAGATTGGTCTTTGTGCGTCCAGAGAGGGTTTTACTTCTCAATTAACTTCTGATTCCGAAACAGCACCTGTTGCTAAGASTTATTCTGCCTTAGATTCGGAGGCTGACGTTGTTTTTGGTGGTGATGCTGGTTCCAAGATAGACGAAATTATCTACGACTTCGAAGCTATGACTGTCAACATTGACGTGGGATCCAAGTCGTGCACACGCCGACTGTTTGCTTAATTACAGGAGAAAGCAGAACTAATGGGGCGGTTGTTGTGACCAATAATATCAATATCATCTGCATATACCAGCAGCTGTACACCCATTTAGATCTGCAGCTCGCATTATTATCTCCAGCAGCAGATTGAAGAAGTTGCACTATAGGGAGTCGCCTTGTCAGAAACCACGTTTTGTACCGAACGGCTCGGAGAGGTCCTCCCCGATGCAGCTTTTGATATCACTCAACGTCAGCTTACACAGCCGTATTACCTTTACGAGGACATCCAGTTCACACAAGCGGCACAGAAGTAGTTCTTTTTCGTGATGTCAAAAGTGGTCTTTAAAATTTACGAAGAGGGGGTGTGTATTAATCTTTATTTCAGGGATATTTTCCAAGATTTGGCGCGTAGAGAATATCTGGCCGATTGTAAATTGTTCAGATCTAAAGCCACACAGATAAGATCTAATTAGTTTACTGACGGTGGGCTTTAATCACACAATACGCTCGATAGAATCTTATACGCGATGTTGAGGTGTCTTATCCCACGGTAGTTGGCGCAGATTGTGGGGTCTTCTTTTTGTAGATTGGGCAGAGCACACTTAAAGTCTAATCGTTTCGTCAACCATACTCTACAAAGAGCTGATTCATGCTCTTATCAGTTGTTGGCCGTCATATTTGAAAAGCTCAACCCGCTATCCATCAGCTCCCACTGTTTTTTTTTTTTTTTTTTTTCAGAAGGCACTATTCTAACTTCTTCATGGTCGGGCAATCGAACGTCTGTCTTTCGTCATATATTGGGAAATCGGGTTCACCATCTCCCGATGTTATGCTTTCACTGCCTTTTARCAGATTATAGAAGTGTTCTCTCAATAATTTTAGTATGCTCTAGAAATCAGTCAGTCAAATCTGGGGTTCTACAAGAGTCCGGTCCAGTCTTGAGACTCTATGTTAGTCGACGCATCTTTTCATTGAATTGTCCTGCATTACCCCTCGCATTTCGACCTCTCTCTTTTTCTGTCTGCAAATGCGTCTCGTTTCTCAAGTAAACTCTCGGCATCTATCCCATCCTGCATGTGTTGTGATCGATTGYAACGTTGCGGAGTATGCCGTCTGTTTTCTCTCCGCTGCGACACGGCACTCCTCGTCGCACTAGCTATTCATCCGGATTTCAATTCATCTCGTCATTTTCATTATTTATAAATACRTAACTCTACATATATCTATCTAGCTTAGCTTCACGTAACACGTCCAACAGTTACGTGAACAAATCCCTTACGTTCTGTGGCAACATGTGGCGGGGGTATAATTAAATTGAATAAATGTACTTACATAAGGAAAATTATCGTGACATTGGTTTGGGTCTCTGCTAAAAATCCTTTCCCAGTAAATACTTATTTCAGCAATAAAGGCTCGCTGGTTACAGTATCCTCAGAGCTTTTATAGTCGCGTTGCGTAGCAAAAGTGCGAGCTTTCCTCGTTGGGTGGATAAYTAAGCTAACTTCAAAGCTAACCGTCCTAACATTCCGTTAACATTTGGTAAATGTTAAAGGTTGGCGCAACAGTAAACTCTTAAGTACTTGTACACTTACACATGTATGCAAATRTGTCTGTCTGCACACATTCTCGTCCTTCGTATTGATAAATGCTTTTGATAATATCCTGTTTACCTGTATGTGACGCCACAGGAACGTGCCACACAGCTGTTTGCCRTTTTAGCCATTTGCATACACTTAGCTGTATTGGTGTATTTGSGCTCATACTTACATGCATATGTGTGTGTGTGTGCATTCTTTGCATTTTAGCTTTGAAGGCGCGCTTTTCGTGCGCCGTGGCCGCATTCAAACTTAAAACGTGCAGCCGAACGGAAACGAAAAGATTAACGGCGCGCCTGAACGCATCACAGTCGTCGGACACTCGCTGCGCTGCTGGCTGTTGCCAATGCTCGGTGTTTCGG